CAGACCCCCCCCATGGAGCCGGGCCGCCCCGGCCGGCAGCGGGCCCCCGATTGCATCCGACGACAGAAACGCCGGGAGCTGGACGCCCGCCGCAGCAAGTGCCGCATCCGCATCGGGGGGCACCTGGAGCGCTGGTGTCGCCTCAAGGAGCAGCTCGGCTTCGCCCTGCACTCCCAGTTGGCCCAGTTCCTCCTCGACAGGTCGGTGGGGGGGGCTGCAAATCCCTTAAAATCCCTTGGGATGGAGAAAAGAAAGGTTTAAGCTCACTCGCTCTCCCGCTTCCCCCCACAGGTACAGCTCCCACGGCTGCGTCTGGAGCCCAGGTAGGTGCCTCCCACCCCAAATCCGCGTTGGCATCGGTTATTTTGGGTCCAAAAGAGGTGAAAAGAGAAGATTCCCGTTGCATCGAGCGCTTGGGTGCTGGAGGTGCACCTGGAGATGCTCCCCCCTGCCGAGCGGGAGGCGAAGTGCTCCCTCGGTTTGGCTGCGTTGGGGTTTTTTTGGCATCCCCAGCTCTTTTTTTTGGGGGGGGGAGCTTTTTGAGGTTTTGGGGGTTGCTAAAAAAGGAGAGCTCTTAATACGGTGGAAATATCAGAGCCCGCATGAGATGGCGGAGGGAGACACTTGCAGATGTCTCCCCGCCCTACGCTGGTTTTACACGATGGAGAACAACCGAAAAGCCAAAGTTCGGAGCCGGTTTTCACCGATTTGTTTGGTTTTTGTGCCTTCACCAGGCGAGCCGGAGCCCAGCCTTCTCCACGCCGATGCCCTGCAGCGCCTGGTCGTCCTGTCCCACGGTCATGGCCAGGAGTGCGGTTTCGTCCCCGACGTGAAGCCCCCGGCCCCAGGCAGCACGTCCCAGCTGGTGTGGGAGTGCATGGCCGGGCACAGCTTCTCCTGGGGTGTCCCCGGGACAGCGGGGGACCGTACCCCCACCACCGGTCACCGTGGAGAGGAGCAACAGGGGGACTCGGGGTGCAGCTCCCCACCGGCCACCGGCCGCCGGCGCTCGCTCCGGCGAGCAGGGCTGGCCACCGAATCCGGCTCTGGGAAGGGCGAAGCTGAACCGGAGGGAGCAGCTCGGTCGCCCGTCGGTGATGGGGACCAGAGGGAAGAGCCAGGAGCTGGTAGCGATGATGGCAACGCAGGTGAGCTCCTCTGTGTCCCCTTCTCCACCCTCATTTCCCCATTGGCTTCTTGAGTCCCCATCTTCAGCCCTTCTCCCAGTCCCAGGGGCGCATCGGCCACCTTCCCACTGGGATCAGGTGTTGCCCCAACCCCGTTGCCTCCCTCTTGCTCCAGACGTGACAGCACCGTCACGTAAAACAAATCTCTGGGCCTTTGCTGGAAAAACAGGTAGAAGAGTCTCCCACTGGGCTTGTTCCTACCACAAAACAAGCCCGTATCTTCTCCGTCCTTTCCTTCCCCTGGAAAAGCAGAGCTGGGGCACCTCAGGTTCATTACCGGTCTTGAGCAGAAGACCTCGCTGAGCCCGCACAGATGCAGCTCTCGGCCGTTTCCAAGAGCCACAGCTCTTGTTGCTTATCCAGACTGAAAACCGGGGAGAAAAATCTTTTTTTTTTTCTCCCTGTAGTAGCTATTTGAGAAGAGGTTGAGCTTCTTCCAGTAGAGTATTTTGGAGCAACTTGGCCCTCATTTCTTCTGGTCAGCGGGAAGGCACCATGCAGGTCCTTTCCAACGCCTGCAGGCTTCCCAACCCTGCTGCCAGATCCGCTCCCCATCCTCCTCCTCCCTCCTCTGCCTCTCCCAACATCCCGGCTCAACCAGCCCTGCTTCAACTTACCGCAACTCCTGCCGTCTCCTTGCAGCTCCCCAAGTGCCGACGGAGACCGGGACCATGGCAAAAGATGAGGGGAGGTGAGTGGTGGCATGCGTGAGTCTTCCCCCAGCGTATAACTGGGCTCTCCGGAGCTGAAGGTCAAGTTTGGACCCATCCATCTCATCCCTTGAGTTCTCCAACGGGCGGCCAACGTTGTAACAAAGACCTTCCATGATAACACCCGTTGCGGCAGAGCTGACTTTGATCGTTGCGTTCCCGCAGCGTGCCCATCCCGGAGGAGAAAGCGGAGCAGGGGGCTGAGCCCCAAGAAGAGGAAGAAGAGGAGGACGAGGACTTTGCCGAGGACGATGACCTCACCTACGCCGATGATCTGCGCGATGAGAACTACCACCCATCTCTGGACAGGTGAAGAGCGCTTGGAGCTGCTGGGAAGGAGCCCATGGACTGGGACCACATGAGAGCCAGTCCGCAGGCTCCCAGTCCAGACGGGTATCGCACTGGGAGGGTTTCAGACCGTACATCCCTGCCACCCTCTTGTCTTGCTGACCCTAGCAGAGATGGGAATAATGTCCTTCTATCACCTAAATAAGGCGCTTCTGAGCTCAGAAGGGCACAGCCTTTTGGGGAGACACCTTCTTTCGCTGTATCTCTGCCTGGGTGAGGGTCTTTGCCACGTCCAGCCGTGTCCTGCCACGTCCAGCCGTGTCCTGCCACGTCCAACCATCTAAACCGTCTTGCCTATCCCGTGTCTGTCTTCTCCCCCAGCGACTCTGAGCCACAGCGACGACAAAGCCAGCCCAAAGCCCGTAAGAAACCCGTAAAGGAGGAGCAGCCCCCGAACGAGCCGAGCCTGACCAGCTCCAGCCCATCGGAGGAGAAGGTTGGACGAGTCAGGTGAGTCAAGACGGCCGCGTCGGTGTGGTGACGCTGGGGATGGACATTGGGGTGCCCGTCTTGGGGCAGCCATCTCTCCGTGGCCACTGAGCGAGCGTTTTGGGGCATGTTGGAGATGATGCTGCTTTCCGTGCTGAGAAACCAGATGGAAACCATCCAGGCCAACGATAAATGGTGTTCAAGCCCTGAGCTCTGGGCAGGGGAAGAGCCACGTGTCCCCAGGGGGGTTTAATCCTCCTCGCGGTGCCGTCGTCCGCAGGGCAGAGCTGCGTCGCTTGGCCTCGTTGGGCGTTGGAGCTTGCAAAGGGGTCTGGGGTGCCGATCTCGCTACGGGGGGGCTTAACGCGTCTTCATTTCGTCCACCGTGTCTCTCGTGGAGCCGGTCCTGGGTGGTCGGGGAGCAAGGATGTGCTGCTGGGGCAGGGGTTGTCCCCAGAGGGGGATGAAGACCCCTTAAACCACCACTGTGGTGGGCGTTGAAGCCTCCGCGCAGCCTGGAGGTTGCAGCAGCAAAAAAAATCCATACGTCCCACCCCTCCAGCCCCTGCAGAAGCACAGAGACTGCTGTCTCCACCTATAGATAGGGGGCTTCTCCAGCAGCCAGAGCAGCTCTATACGGCCCAGCTATATTGCCCGGCAGCTCAAGCCCAGGGGGAGAAGCGAGTAGCGACGGCAGCGCTGCAAACCTCAAGAGTCGGTCAAGGGACAGCTTGGTAACAACCACCGTTACTTAACTCGCAAGCACTCTTTACCACGGCCTGTTTGAGGCTGAGGGTTAGGTTTTAACCTTTCCTTCCCAGCCACGTGGGCTCAAAATTCACTTTTCTGTTCTAAATAAGCTCAAATCATCGCTCAGTTATTTGCTGGGTCTTTATGCAAGAGGTTGGTCTCGATGCTGAAACAAGAAGAGGGGCCATGCGTTGCCTCTTGGGTCTGACACACAAGGAGATGTCACCTGGCTGGATTTTCTTACATTTTTTAATACGACGGGGGCGTTAAAAACCCCTTTTTCATTGGAGTTCGCCGGCGCAACCACGTAACACCGCCTTGTAACGCATCTTGCCTTCATGCGTCCCATGAAAGACGGGACCGGCAGCAAAACGCATGCCCCAGAACTCACCACGTAAGTATCGTGCTGCTCCGTTAAGGCTTTTTATCAATTAGCTTTTCGCTTTGGCATGGTATTGTCGCTTCTTTTCGGTGCTAAACACCCTTCCCCTCGCCTTGCAGCTCTGAAACCGCCTCAGAACTCGCTGGAAGAGCGAACGCCCACCCGGAGGCCCAGTCCCAGCAAAGGAAAACTTGATGGTAAATACGGCATTTGCTTTTCTCCTCTCCCTGCCCGCCGCTGGTCACGTCGCACCGGGCGACACCAGGCTCTCACCTTCAATGTGAGGGTGGAAAGGTTTGGGTTAGGCCTAAGTAGGCCTTGTTAAGGCCAGACGTGAATTAAAAGAGGGATTTTTCACATTCCCTTGGCATTTTTGGGTCCTGTACACTTTCCATTCAAAATCCTGGTGTTGAGACCTCCTAAAGATGCGCCCAAGGCCCAGTGGAGAGCTGCAGGGGTGGCTGATGAAAGCGGTCATTGACTTTCCTGGGCAACCAGTGCCGTCTTGGAGCTTTTAACCCCCTCTCCAAAGCCCTGCCTAAGCTTTAAGTCGGTTCTGCCCTTTTTAAGGCTGAGCTTGGTTACCGAGATCATATTTCCAGGCATTTGATTAATTTTTTTCCCCCTCTTTTGTCGCAGCAACTGGAAGACTGGAGATAAAAGACTGTTTTATGAGCGAGAGCCTCCAGACTTGCTGTGTTCATCCTCTTCTCTCTCCCCAAAGGTAAGGCCATCGTGAGCTCATCCAACATTTTTAAGAGATTGTGGACAAAGATGCCCAGCCCCTATTTTTATTCCGTGCTGAGGATGTGGTTTGGCATCGTCGTCTATTAAACTATTAATCTCTCTATTTCTCCTCCCCACAAAAGCACGCCTGTTCTTTTTAACGTATTTTTCTTTAATTTCAGGATGTCAGCCCAAAATAGCTGCTGTTTCCACGGAGCTGCGGATAAATTATAGATCAAACGAGGCTGGCCTGAGGTTGACATCAATCTTAAATGTCCTGGGACATATCCAAAACCATGTGAAAGGGTTTTTTTTGTAATGAGTAATAAAGGATCGATCCCTATTTATGGTGTCTGTGTATTTGTTAACGACATCGTTTCCTTCTCTGATGGGGAGAAATATTGGAGTGAATTCCCCAAATGGAGGCAATAAAAGAGAAATGGTTGCCCAGAGGATGGTTTTAACGTAGGGTTTGCTTGGAAAATGTAGGGGTTGCGAGGCTGGAGGACCGCAGCGTCTCGGCTCCATGCTTGGGGACAAAGAGAGGGGACAAGAGCCTCACTCAAGCCCCTTCTTTCCCGTTGCAGCTGCAAGAGGCGAGCGCGGCCGTGCGACGAGGACGTGGCCCAGATCGGCCCGAAGAGGATCAGGTACCCGGGGCCCGTGGGGAAGGGGACGACGAGAAGGTGCAGCTCAGCCCTTCCATGACAGGACACCCTTGGCAAGCGACGCTTGCTCCGACAGGAGCCTCCCGAAGGGCTTTATTTCCTTAAATGAAGCTTTCGATGGGTGGGTAGGAGGGAGGGTGGGTGACGAGGACCTAGTGGGGTGCCAAATCCAAAAGCCACGGCTTTTTCGGCTCTCCTCCCTGCTCACCCTCACCGATGATGGTTTCCCACCCTCTCTTTCTGCAGGAAGGCGGCAAAGCGTGAGATCCTCCTGTGCGACTTCGAAGGCTGCGGCAAGATCTTCTCCAACCGCCAGTACCTGAACGTGAGGGCTGGGGGCAACCGTTGCGCTTAAATCCACCTCTCGTGCCCCGGGAGGTGCAGCCGAGCTGGGCACGAGCATCCCTCCTGCTCCCAGTCTCTTCTGGGGCCACCGGCAGCTTTGGTGACCCATTAGATGGGTCAAGTTTTGCTTGTCCAAGCTCCGTTTTGGGCATTTTGGCTGTTGTCCTAGAGGCAGAGCTGGGCAACCCCAATTCCCCACGGCTTTCCGAAGCTGGATAATAAGGGAGGCGTTGGCCTCGTGTGTTGAGCAGCAGCTCGGCGTGCCTGAGGTCTCTTGAAGTCCCACCACGCGCTTCAGGGAGCGAAACAGGGCGGGGAGGTTTTCGCTGGAAGGTGCCCTTGGGCTTTCTCCAAGTGCAGCTTCTCAGCGCCATCCTCCTCTCTTCTCACTCCCCCTTTTTTCTCCCCAAAACGGCAGCACCACAAGAAGTACCAGCACGTCCACCAGAAGACCTTCACCTGCTCGGAGCCCAGCTGCGGCAAGTCCTTCAACTTCAAGAAGCACCTCAAGGAGCACGAGAAGCTGCACAGCGGTGAGTCGGCCACCTCGGCACGGGCACCTACACGGATATATACCCCCCTATACCTCCTCTCCTGCGCTGGTCCACCTCTGCTGGGCTCCAGCTGGCCATACCCACGTCCTCACCGTTCAGGCGCATCCCTGGTAGATGTTACTGCACCCGTTTTGCTTTCTGCTCCCGAGATCGCCATTTCTGTGCTGGGAAAGCATCCTGGCTCCTAAAACTCATCCTGAAGCCCCCTGTGCTCTTCTCGGCTGGATCAGCCCCTCAGCTTTTTTTTTTTTTCCCTTCTGCCCCCCAGACAAGCGGGACTATATCTGCGAGTTCTGCGCCCGATCCTTTCGTACCAGCAGCAACTTGATCATCCACAGGCGCATCCACACAGGGGAGAAGCCCCTGCAGTAAGTACCGGTCCCACCAACGCGACCGCTGGCTCCCCGGGTGGCATCAGGGTTTCTCCCCATCGCTTTGCAACTCAAATTTAGCTTCTCGGAGTTTCTCGCCGCGGGTAGCCGGAGGACTTGCTGTTATTTTTGCTTTGCCGAAAGGTTTCTGCCCGCCGGGGCGGGCTGCGCTCTGATCCAGCAGCTTGAGGATCAGCGTCAGAGCGTGGGCTTGATTTGGAGAAGCGTAATTATCTGGGATTTACCGAGAGCGATGCAGCTCCTTGCCTGGAGGGTGTGCTGAAGCCACACCGAGCGAAGGACCGCAGCGGCGCGGGGCGGTGGCGTTGCTAAGCCCACGTAAAACTGCAGCAGCAAGATGAGGCGGGGCCAATTCTCCCTCGCGCTTAATCCCTTGTAATGCCTGTCTTTTTTATTCTTTTACGTTAAATCTCCTCCTGTTTTCTCCCAGGTGCGAGATCTGCGGCTTCACCTGCCGCCAGAAAGCCTCCCTGAACTGGCACATGAAGAAACACGACGCCGACTCCTTCTACCAGTTCTCCTGCGACATCTGCGGCAAGAAGTTCGAGAAGAAAGACAACGTCACTGCCCACAAAAGCAAAAGTCACCCCGAAGTGCCCGGCGGACCCCCCCAGGGCGAGGGGGGCCAGCGGCAGGGGGGGGGGGTCCCCCCCCCCGACATCGGGGC